TATGGAAGGCAAGATTTGCTACCCGCAGCTGGAGGGCCATAGAGGTAACAGTAGGGACCAGACACCCAGCAGAGTCACAGAGTTCCCCTAGGTGTAATTTAACACAGCCTGATGTTTTCTAATTTTTGGCTCCAGTCTTAAAGGATGTCAGGTGCTTTCTGGTGGGCCCAGGATGAGTCCAGGATATAAGTTCTGCCTGTCCATGCACTGTTGGATTCTAGCTCAAGGCCTTGTGGCTCCTTTTACCTCCCGACCTAATTTCAGCCTGGACCAGATACCAGCTTCCAGTCCTATGATCTCCAGCCTAGATTCCTTCTTCCCCTTCCACTGGCCTCTCCCCACTGCTGCACCCCAGTTCATCCCCACTGCCTAACCCCAAAGCTGCTTTCTTATCTTTCTCTCGCCTTTTTCTTTCTTTTTTTTTTTTTTTGAGACAGAGTCTTGCTTTGTTGCCCCAGGCTAGAGTGAGTGCCGTGGAGTCAGCCTAGCTCACAGGCAACCTCAAACCCTAGGCTCAAGTGATCCTCCTGCCTCAGCCTCCCAAGTGGCTGGGACTACAGGCATGTGCCACCATGCCCGGCTAATTTTTTCTATATATATATATTTTTTAATTTCTTTCTATTTTCAGTAGAGACAGAGTCTTGCTCTTGCTCAGGCTGGTTTCGAACCCCTGACCTCCAGCAATTCACCTGCCTCGGCCTCCCAGAGTGCTAGGATTATAGGCGTGAGCCACTGCACCCGGCCTCTTGCCTTTTTCTAAAGCCTCAAAGATTGTCAAGCCTGGAAGAGTCCTCACACTCCATCTGATGTTGATAATCTCTCTACATAACCAACCTGTGGTTTTCCAAAGCCCATTTGAATGTCACAAACAACAAGATGCTCATAATCTTACTAGACAGGTCACCTTATCTTAGGCTGGTTCCAGGTTGCTATCAGTCCTTTTCTGGGGGCTTTTACTGCCAATCACATCCAGGTCATAATACAATTAGCACTCAAAAAGTCATTTGCAGGCCGGGCACAGTGGCTCACACTTGTAATCCTAGCTCTCTGGGAGGCCAAGGTGGGCGGATTGCTCTAGGTCAGGGGTTCGAAACCAGCCTGAGCAAGAGTGAGACCCCGTCTCTACTATAAATAGAAATAAATTAATTGGCCAACTAATACATATAGAAAAAATTAGCCGGGCATGCATGCCTGTAGTCCCAGCTACTCGGGAGGCTGAGGCAGCAGGATTTCTTGAGCCCAGGAGTTTGAGGTTGCTGTGAGCTAGGCTGATGCCACGGCACTCACTCTAGCCAGGGCATCAAAGCGAGACTCTGTCTCAAAAAAAAAAAAATCATTTGCAGCCACAGATGGGTGAACTCTGGCGTAGCAGGATTTCTCAAATGTCTACCTACCCCCAAGACTCCTAACAGTTGGGAGTTGGGGGAAAAGTGAATGTGTACCCTTTTCCTTGAAATTCTCTTGATTTGGCTTAAAATTTCATGTATGTTTTGCAATTTCCTCTATGATGGGCCCATGTTTGTTTAACTGATATGAATAAGGTCAGGTAACATTCATGCTCTGGGAAGGTGCATGCTGTGACTTCCGGTACCCGTCGGAGGCTATGAGTATCTCAATTTAAGAAACATGAGTGCCGGGCGGTGGCTCACGCCTGTAATCCTAGCACTCTGGGAGGCCGAGGCGGGCGGATTGCTCCAGGTCAGGAGTTCGAAACCAGCCTGAGCAAGAGCAAGACCCTGTCTCTACTATAAATAGAAAGAAATTAATTGGCCAACTAATATATATAGCTGTGAGCTAGGCTGATGCCATGGCACTTACTCTAGCCTGGGCAACAAAGTGAGACTCTGTCTCAAAAAAAAAAAAAAAAAGAAAAAGAAACGTGAGCCTAGGCCTGGCGAGAAGGCTCATACCTATAATCCTAGCACTCTGGGAGGCCGAGGCGGGAGGATCCCTTGACTTCAGGAGTTCGAGACCATCCTGACCAACAGTGAGATCCCTGTGTCTACTTAAAAAAAAAAAAAATAGAAAGAAATTAGGCCAGGTGGGGGCGGTGGCTCACGCCTGTAATCCTAGCTCTTTGGGAGGCCGAGGCGGGCGGATTGCTCGAGGTCAGGAGTTCGAAACCAGCCTGAGCAAGAGCGAGACCCCCGTCTCTACTATAAAGAAATTAATTAGCCAACTAATATATAAAGAAAAAATTAGCCGGGCATGGTGGCGCATGCCTGTAGTCCCAGCTACTTGGGAGGCTGAGGCAGCAGGATTGCCTGAGCCCAGGAGTTTGAGGTTGCTGTGAGCTAGGCTGATGCCACGGCACTCACTCTAGCCAGGGCATCAAAGCGAGACTCTGTCTCAAAAAAAAAAAAAAAAAGATAAAAGAAACATGATCCTAAAGCAAAGAGGACTGTTTACCAGTCCCATTTTCACACCCTCCAAAGCAGGAGTGGGTAGGGCGAAGTGGGTACAGAGGGGATGTCTTTACAAGCTCTAAAGTAAGCTCACATTTGTGTAAGTTTATGAGAAAGGGATGATGCTCCCCATTTGACAGAAGAGGAAAAATGAGGCTTAGGAACAATGACTTCAGCAAAGTCATATAGTAAGTGTCAGAACTGGGGGTATATGAACTTAGGTCTCTCTAATTCTGTGGCCTGTCTTCTGAGTTTTGCTGACCAGATATCTCCACTGCTCCCCACCTCCATTTAGACCCAGCATGGATTAGCAATTCTTGCTTTGCTTTGCCCCAGATTGCGTGACTGTAGGCATGCCCTCTTTGCTCTTCAGTCTGCACATCTAAAGTCAGAGGTCGAGCCTGATGGTTTTGTTGTTGTTGTTTTTTGTTTGTTTGTTTGTCTGTTTTTTTTTTTTTTTTTTTTGAGACAGAGTCTCGCTCTGTTGCCCAGGCTTCAGTGCCGTGGCTTCAGCCTAGCTCACAGCAACCTCAAACTCCTGGGCTCAAGCGATCCTCCTGCCTTGGCCTCCAGAGCAGCTGGGACTACAGGCACGTGCCACCATGCCCGGCTAATTTTTTTCTGCTTTTAAGTAGAGAGAGGATCTCACTCACTCTTGCTCAGGGTGGTCAAGTGATCCACCTTGGCCTCCCAGAGTACTAGGATTACAGGCAAGAGCCACTACGCCCAGCCAGGCCTGATGGTTTCTAAGACCTTTCCAGATGGGAGAATCTGCACATTAGCCCTAGTTTATTAACAACATCTAGTTCTGGGTGCTGGGGGCTTTTAGGCAGACAGATCATAGCTTCTGTTCTTGATGAATGCCCAGTCTCATCAAGGCGGTAGGAGGGGCAGTGGGACTGACACATAAATTAGTAATCACGGAACTCAGTGTCTAAGCTGATGATGGTGGTCTGAGTAAAATGTTGTAGAAGCCTGGGGTGAGAGAGAAGCAAAGAGCATTGGGAAGGCTTCCTATGGTAAGTGATATCTGAGCTGAGCTTTGAAGGCTGAGTTAGAGTTCCCAGCAGAGCACTCTAACGGTGGGGGAACCGCAAGTACAAAGGTGTGAAGTAAGAAAACAGTGTGATGTGTCTGTGAAAGGCAAGAATAGCCCAGGGGCCACAGGAGGATCATTGCTTGAGCCTAGCAGTTTGAGACCAGCCTGGGCAACATAGCGAGACTTTGTCTCAAAAAGCAAACAAACAAACAAACAAAAAGAGTAGCTCATAGAATGTAGATCAGTGCTGTAAAAAGAAAAAATAAAGAAAGAAAACAAACAAAAAAAAGAGTAGCTTAGAACACAGGCAGTGCGTGTGTGCGTGTGTGCTTAGAAGAGCAGAATGAAGAGGTGGGTTTGATCTTGATATTAAAGGCTCTTGAATACCTGGTAAGTTAAACTTTATCTGAGGCTGGGCGGGATGGCTCACGGCTACAATCCTAGCACTCTCTGGGAGGCTGAGGAGGGCGGATTGCTCAAGGTCAGGAGTTCAAAACCAGCCTGAGCAAGAGCCAGACCCCATCACTACTATAAATAGAAAAGAAATTAATTGGACAACTGATATATATAGAAAAAATTAGCCGGGCATGGTGGCGCATTCCTGTAGTCCCAGATACTCAGGAGGCTGAGGCAGCAGGATCGCTTGAGCCCAGGAGACTGAGGTTGCTGTGAGCTAGGCTGACGCCACGGCACTCACTCTAGCCTGGGCAACAAAGTGAGACTCTGTCTCAAAAAAATAAAAAATGAACTTTATGTGAGAGCCAGTGCTGTGTCTGAGGAGCAGTCGTAGGAAAGGCGGCGCCTCAGGGACTCCCAAGGGCTTCAGGGTGCGGGCCCCACTCCGCTTCAGCAGAGCAGCTCCCCGTACGCCCGCTTCATCTATGGGGTTCTGCTCGATTTCATCTGACGAAAAATTTCCATTGCTAAAACAAGCAGACAAATAAACCAAGTTCTGGCCAACAGGGCCACGGAAGGATTTTCTGCTGGGGAGAAGCAAGACGTTGTTTGAAGGAACCCTCTGAAGGAGACCGTGTGGGTGTGAGGGGTGAGGGGCAGAGACCCAAGACTGGCTGTGGTAGGAGTGTCTTCTCAGCTTCCCTGCAGGACAGGGGAGTTGCAATTAAACACCTCTCTGGTAGGGGAGGATCTGATCAAAAGTTAGGGACCCCTCCAGGGCTTGGGGAGGCTTGTGTGACTCTAGGAGGTAGTCCCCCAACAAGTGAGGGGGCAGAGGGAGACTGAGGGGGGAGAGGCAGGAAGTGGGTAACTACACCAACAAAGGTGCCTGTGGCGGTTTGCCCATCCCAGGTGGGAGGGCGGGGCCTGGGGCTCAGCCTGGGCCCCTGTGTGAATTTACTCGTGGCCTGAGGGCTCTGAGGGGGCACCAGTGGGGAACTAGGGTCCCCACTTCAGCTTTACCATGGCTGGTGAATGGGGGCCCTGGGGTCTGCCAGTTTCGGGTACTTTGGGAAATTCCCAGGGCAAGTCCTAGGATATCTGATGTTGGGGGAACAGATCTTGGGGGAGCTCCTTCAGCCCCCTCTCCATTCCCTCAGGGACCATGGGCTGTGGCTGCAGCTCAAACCCTGAAGATGACTGGATGGAGAACATCGATGTGTGTGAGAACTGCCATTACCCGATAGTCCCGCTGGATGGCAAGGCCACGGTAAGAGGCAAGACAGGGGTTTTGGTGAGGGAGTCGCGTGGAGTATCCAACCCAGGAGAAAGAAATGGACCACCGCTGCAGTCCCTTGAAACAACAGAGTGGCCCTCTCCCCTGGAGTAAGAAAGGAAAAGAGGCCCAGAGAGGGGAAGGGACTCTCCTAAGGTCACACAGCAAGTAGTTAGTAAATTCAGGGATAAGACCCAGCCATGCTGGAGAAGGAGAAAGCAAGGGAGGGGTGGGGTGAGGGGAGCCAGGGTCTGACCCAGTCTTTTGTTCTCTGACCCCCACAGCTGCCCATGCGAAATGGCTCTGAGGTGCGGGACCCACTGGTCACCTACGAGGGCTCCAACCCACCAGCCTCCCCAATGCAAGGTGACCCCAACCAACAAGGCCTGAAAGATAAGGCCTATTGATCCTTGGCTGTCAGCTTCCACCTCCGCCCACCCCCCCCACACTGTCCTGCCCCTCTTGCCCCAGTCTTGTCCCCCACCCTGAAACTCCAGACCACCATGCCCTCTGCCTACGCCAGGCCTGTTTTCCCTGACACCCCTGTCTTTACAGATAACCTGGTTATTGCCCTGCACAGCTATGAGCCCTCTCATGATGGAGACCTGGGCTTCGAGAAGGGTGAACAGCTCCGCATCCTGGAGCAGTGAGTGTCCCCACCCTGCCCTGGCGGAGTCTGGGAGGGAGCAGGGGACCCTGGTATCGCAGCGCTGCGGCCACTGACTGGCTTAGGGTGGGCGTCTTTGGGACAAGATGGGAGGCTCCAGAGTGCTGTGCCGGGGCTGGGTGGCGGGGATGCTGGCGTAACCCGGGGCTTCGAAGGAGGGTTTCCAACCGGGTCCGCGGCTGAGCAGGCCACGCTGACCTGCCTCCCTGGCGCAGGAGCGGCGAGTGGTGGAAGGCGCAGTCCCTGACCACCGGCCAGGAAGGCTTCATCCCCTTCAACTTTGTGGCCAAAGCGAACAGCCTGGAGCCCGAGCCGTGAGTGAGGGCCCGTGGGGTGGGTGCGAGCACATCTAGGGACCACGGAGCAGGGGAGTGGTCCTGCGGGCGCGGTGAATGCTTGCGGGTGGCGGAGCGAGACCGGACCACAGCCAACGGCCTTGGCTTCTGCCTGGGCAGCTGGTTCTTCAAGAACCTGAGCCGCAAGGATGCGGAGCGGCAGCTGCTGGCGCCGGGGAACACGCACGGCTCCTTCCTGATCCGGGAGAGCGAGAGCACCGCGGGTGAGCCGGCGCGGGCCGGGGCGGGCCGGGGCGGGGCCGCGGACGCAGGTGCCACCCGGGAGCCCGGGGCTAGGGCTGCGGGGCGGCGGGACGCACCAGCGGACACCCCTCCCCCTCCTGCGCGTTCTTTCGTTCGCTCATTCATCCCTTCGTTCAGGATCGTTTTCACTGTCGGTCCGGGACTTCGACCAGAACCAGGGAGAGGTGGTAAAACATTACAAGATCCGGAACCTGGACAAGGGCGGCTTCTACATCTCCCCTCGCATCACCTTCACCAGCCTGCACGAACTGGTCCGCCACTACACCAGTGAGCCCGGCAGGACCCCTCCCCTGTGCCCTGTCAGCCTTGTCCCCTCAGTTTCTCCCTGGGGTACCCTCCATCCATCTTTCAGTGCACTTCTTCATCCCCCGCGGTGGGTGAGGTGTGGTGCCCGACCCTACAGCCCCAGACGTCGGGGACAGTCCCACAACTCCCCTGCTAGTCCATTCCCCTAGACGGGGACTTGGAGAGGTGGGGGCTGCTGGGGCACCCAAGGCCTGCCGTGTTGACACTCTCCCCTCCCCCTGTGCTCGCAGATACTCCAGACGGGCTGTGCACGCGGTTGAGCCGCCCCTGCCAGACCCAGAAGCCCCAGAAGCCGTGGTGGGAGGACGAGTGGGAGGTTCCCAGGGAGACGCTGAAGCTGGTGGAGCGGCTGGGGGCCGGCCAGTTCGGGGAGGTGTGGATGGGTGAGTGTGGCCCTCCAGGGCTGCAGGGGAAGGGGGGAGGGGAGGCGTCCGCTGAGGTGGTGAGAGTCCCAGGACAGCTGCCTGGCTCTGGGCGCTCGGGGCCCTAGCAACTACCCCAATCCTTCCTTCCTCACACCCAGGGTACTACAATGGGCACACAAAGGTGGCAGTGAAGAGCCTGAAGCAGGGCAGCATGTCCCCTGACGCCTTCCTGGCTGAGGCCAACCTCATGAAGCAGCTGCAGCACCAGCGGCTGGTCCGGCTGTATGCGGTGGTCACCCAGGAGCCCATCTACATCATCACTGAGTACATGGAGAATGGTGGGTGCCGCTGTGAGCCCACTGCGGGGGCATTGCTGTCCCGGTGACCCTGCAGGAGGATGGGAATGCACCTTTTCCTTTGGCCCAGCACTAAAGGTTTCTTGAACTTTCCTGGGCTCCTAAAGACTCACCTCCAGAGGTGCAAAGAAGGTGTGTTGTCTGAGCCTGTCTGGAGACTCAGCTTAAGGTGGCAAGCTCTGAAAGAGCATTCACCCCAGTCTTCCCTGCCCTGCAGTTCTGTTTGCCTTCGTCAATGCCCTACCTCAGGGGTCCTCAAACTTTTTTTTTTTTTTTTTGAGACAGAGTCTCGCTTTGTTGCTCAGGCTAGAATGAGTGCCATGGCATCAGCCTAGCTCACAGCAACCTCAAACTCCTGGGCTCGAGCAATCCTGCTGCCTCAGCCTCCCGAGTAGCTGGGACTACAGGCATGTGCCACCATGCCCGGCTAATTTTTTCTATATATATTAGTTGGCCAATTAATTTCTTTCTGTTTATAGTAGAGACGAAGTCTCGCTCTTGCTCAGGCTGGTTTCGAACTCCTGACCTTGAGCAATCCACCTGCCTCGGCCTCCCAGAGTGCTAGGATTACAGGCGTGAGCCACCTTGCCCGGCCAAACTTTTTAAACAGGGGGCCAGTTCACTGTCCCTCAGACCGTTGGAGGGCTGTACTATAGTTTTTAAAAAAACTATGAACAAATTCCTATGCACAGTGCACATATCTTATTTTGAAGTAAAAAAAAACGAACGGGCAAAAACACCCGCATGTGGCCCGCGGGCCATAGTTTCAGGATGCCTGCCCTACCTTGATCTCAGGATACTTGATTCAGAAAATAAGTGGTCCCTAGCCCCATTTACTTCCCCTCTGCTCCTGATCCTTGGGAGGGTAGATCTGCCCCAAAGCCCTCTTTTTCGGTTCTGAGTGAGTCCCCCACCTCCCTTGGTCTGCTGTTGGACACAGTGAGAGCCCCAGGAAGAGGGATATGAGTTTCTAGGCTCAGCTTCACTCACACTGATTTGCTGTGTGAAAGAAAGGCCAAGTGCCTGCTCTGTCTCTGGTGTTCAGTTTCCCCAAGTACAATGGCAGAAATCTAAAGGGACTGACCCAGGAATAATGCAGAGTATTGTTAAGGGCTCCGGAGTCTGACTGCCTGGATCAGAATCCTGGCTTCACAGTTGTATAGCTTTGGGATAATCACATCGCTTCACTCTGCCATGGTTTCTTCATCTGTATGCTCATGATAATAACGCAGTAGCAACTTCTCATAGCATCTTGTGAGGTTGAGAGAATTCATGCATATAGAGCCTTTAGAACAGTGCCTGCCATAGAGTAACTGCTCAATAAGTTCATTGTTGTTAACTGTCTCTTTCAGGAAGGGAAACAAGCGGTTAATTGGCTAATGGATTCTGGAAATGGCAAATAGATTTTATCATGTGCATCAGGTTTGATAGGTATTTGCTTGGGGTGTTGAGCTGAGGATTCTGAGGTTCATTGGAAGTGAGTGCCAGGAATGATTAGTAACATCTACCATGGACACAATGGAGGAATGGCAGTTTATGTCCATATGTTTGCTGTGTCTGGTGAGACCCTTATGTTTGGTGACTAATTCAGCACTCGTAGTGGGGCTGTTCAGGTTATTGTCATGCTCACATAGGATTTTAATCTCTTGGGAAGGGCCAGTGGCCACTCACTCCATTCCAGCAACTTCCATCCATAGTCTTTTCCTAGCTGCCTTCCACTATTAGAGAGGTGGTCACCCAGACCCCCAGACATTTCTTCTGTTCTCCATTCAATACATTCAGCACACTGTTGGTGTTCCTTACTCTGGGCTGGGCACTGGGAACATGGTTGGATGAAAGAAGGTTCCTGCTGTCAGGGAAACCTGATTTTAGTTATGGGAACCAGGAAAATTAGAGTTTGTGCCATGGGAAAGTTCCAGCATGCCATGGCAGTGTAATGATGATGCAATTTATTATGCCTGGTAGGATCTGGAGGGGCTTCCTAGAGGGGTAGTCTAGCTGGGCCATGAAAGAAAAGTAGAATATTTAGCAGGCAGAGATGAAACAAAGAGGCTTTGAGGTGGGAATCTAGTGGTCTGAGTGAAGTATCAAAATTATCTAGGGTGTGTGAAGTGAAAGGCAGGGTGGGGGAAAGAGAAGAAGCTACAAATGTGAACCATGCAGGGCTTTGGATGCCTAGCTGAGAAGTTTAAGCTCTGCCCCACTGGTGACAAAAAGGTTACAAACTTTTCCAACCATGCCCCATCCTAGCCCCCCAGAAAAGACCTTCATATATCCTGGGCATCCTTGCTGTGAACACACGTCCTCCATTCTCACTCCTTACTCTTCCTTTCCACATGTCAGACCCTGCTTCTAGAACCCCATTTGGAGGAGAAGGGTCTGAGACCTCCCCCTGTGGCAACTTGGGTCAGCAGCTCTTGTTTCTGCCCATAGGGAGTCTGGTGGATTTTCTCAAGACCCCACCAGGCATCAAGTTGACCATCAACAAACTCCTGGACATGGCAGCCCAAGTAAGGAGACTGGGGAGGGGCTGGTCATGGGTATAGGCCAGTGGGGTGAGGATGTCTGGCTCAGGACTGCCGACCTGTGTCTGGCCTACAGATCGCAGAGGGCATGGCATTCATCGAAGAGCGGAATTATATCCACCGTGACCTGCGGGCTGCCAACATCCTGGTGTCTGACACCCTGAGCTGCAAGATTGCAGACTTTGGCCTAGCACGCCTCATTGAGGACAATGAATACACAGCCAGGGAGGGTAGGTGTGGGACACAAGGGAGGTCTGAGACCTGCAGGGCCTGGCCAAGCAGACCCATGTGACCTCACTCTGCCTGCCTCCAGGAGCCAAGTTTCCCATTAAGTGGACAGCACCAGAAGCCATTAACTACGGGACATTCACTATCAAGTCGGACGTGTGGTCTTTTGGGATTCTGCTGACGGAGATTGTCACTCATGGCCGCATCCCTTACCCAGGTCAGGGCCAAGGGCAGGAACTGAAAGGGTGATGGGAAGGGCACCAATTCCATGTCCTCCCACTCACATTTTTCTTGGTTCAGAATCTGAAACTTTTTAGCTGTATCTTTATCCTCTCAGGGGTATGACTCTAAAATTCCCAAGCAGATGCCACATCTCCTGGGGCTGGCTTCCATCTCCTTTTTTTGCTGTTTTTATTTTTATTTTTTATTTTTTTATTTTATTATCATTATTATTTGCTGTTTTAAAATGTTATTTATTTATTTATCAAATAGATGGGGTCTTCCTATGTTTCTCAGGCTGGATATGAACTCCTGGGCTCAAGTGATCCTCTTGCTTCAGCCTCCCAAGTGGCTGGGACTATAGGTTATAGGCACGTGCCATCGTGCCCAGCTGGCTTCAGTCTCTGTCTCTGGATCTCTCCCTTCAACATCCCCAGCTGTTTTCATGAGTCCTGGCACAAGCAGCCTGGTGTGGTAGAAGTGGATCTGGCCTGGGAGGCAGGAGGGTTGCCTTTTATTGCCTGACCTGCCACTGTTGCTAACTTTCTATTTGGCTTTGATCAGATAATTGCTGCTTTTCCCATCTGTTAAATGTTGAGATCGGAACAGTGCCTGGCTTATACTAAGCTATTATTTTTATATATTTATTTATTGCCAGTGGGGGTTTGTATACCAACTTTAGTGACACTAATTTTTTTTTTTTTTGAAACAGAGTCTCACTCTGTTGCCCAGGCTAGAGTGCCGTGGCGTCAGCTTAGCTCAAACTCCTGAGCTCAAGCAATCCTTCTGCCTCAACCTCTGAGTAGCTGGGACAACAGGCATGCACCACCATGCCTGGCTAATTTTTTCTATTTTTGGTAGAGACAGGGTCTCGCTCTTGCTCAGGCTGGTGTCGAATTCCTGAGGTCAAGCAATACACCTGCCTCGGCCTCCCAGAGAGTGCTAGGATTACAGGCATGAGCCACCACGCCCAGCCCAACACTAATGTTAATAAGTTCTGATAATTCCTTACCATCGAACCAGTCCTAAGCTATTAGCAATCATCACTTTGAACAAGTCATTTCACCTCTCTGAGCCTCAGTTTTCTGATATGAAAAATAAGAGACTGTGAAAGAGCCTCACTCATAGTAGGTACTCAGTAAACATACCCCATCTCCTGGACAAAGCCCTTTACCCCTGAATTCAGCCAAAGTAGGATGGAATTTTTTGGAAGGAACTTGCTGAGAAACTTTGGGGAAAGGAAATGGAACACAAAGACAGGAGTAAGGAGGTCATGGAGCACAGTAGCTGGATTTGCCAATATCCACATCGCCAGGGCAATGTGACTAGAACTTTGCTCCTAGGAAGGTAAAGACATCTTGGAGGTAGGTGAGAGTTCGAAGGACTTCCTTGCCCTGAGCTTGCCCCATCACGGAGTCCAGGGGCAGTGCTGGAGCTAGAAACACACTGCAGCTGTCTTGCCAAGGGTTCTCACTGCTCCTTCTCTGTGCCCGCTAAGGTAAACACAAAGAGAATGTCTCTACCAGAGACCAGAAGAAAACAGTGAAAGCGTGATGATAAATGGCAACTGACCCGTGGCATCAAGGTCAAGGAGAAAATGGGAAGAAATACGGACCTTGGTAAACTTGCAGCTGCTCCAGCAGATGGCTGCCATTAAGGCATGGGGGTCAAAAAACCAGATCTTTCGTTTTTTTAAGAGAAGCCAAAACTTGAAGTTCTAGGAAAATGTGCTCATTTTCAAATATTGGTGATTGATTCAAATTGTTTAAAAATACTATAGATCCAGGCCAGGTGTGGTGACTCACACCTATAATGCTAGCATTCTGGGAGGCCAAGGTGGGAGGATCGGTTGAGGTCAGGAGTTCGAGACCAGCCTAAGCAAGGGGAATACCCCATGTCTATTAAAAATAGAAAAAATTAGCTAGGTGTGGTATGGTGGCATGTGCCTGTAGTCCTAACTACTCGGGAGGCTGAGGCAGGAGGATCACTTGAGCCCAGGAGTTTGAGGTTGCTGTGAGGCAGGCTGAAGCCACGACACTCTAGCCCAGGCAACAGAGTGAGACTCTATCTCAAACAAACAAACAAACAAACAAACAAACAAACAAACAAACACTATCTGTCCAAACCAAAGTGGGTCTGTGGGCTATAATTAGGGTGGGTTTAGACTATGGGTTTGCATCCTTCACTCTGGCCATGGGTGTTTGGTTCCCTGGCCTATTTCCTCCAATCCTGATTTTAAAATGTGAGGGATCCTTGAACTCAATCCTCTGCTGACAAAAAAAAAAAAAAAGAAAAAAAGAAAGAAAGAAAAAGTAAAATAAAATGTGAGGGATCCATAGGTAGAGGCCTCCCAGGGGCAAACCTGGGGAAGAGAGGTCTCTGTTGACCAGGGTCCAGCCACAAGCTTTGCAGGAATAATATTTCTACTTTGCCAGGACCCTATTAAAGGGTTTGGTCTTTGAGAACTGCTTGTCACAATCTTCTCTCAGGAGACACTAGAGGCTGTGTGTGCCATTTAGAACTAGCGAGCTAGGTCTTTGCTGTGACCATGCAGTTCTCCAGAGCAATTCTGCTTGGGGTCCACATGCCAGAAGCCTGCCAGGGAAGCCAGGACCAGCACAAAGGGAGGGAACCAGCCCAGGGACTGTTTCCTCTGGGTCATGAACCTTCTCAGCCCCAGACAGGGTCTGCTTTGCTGGGGGCTGGGGTCCATTTGGCTTCCTCATGCAGCATCGCATATGCCTGGTCTCAAAACTGGAGAAACCTCACTGCTATGCTGGCTGTGGGCTCCTATCCTGTCCTGTCCTGGGCCCTGACCGTGCTGTCATTCCCATCAGATAATAATGATCACAGGTACCCTTTGCGAAGGCTGTCCTATCCAGACGCTACACTTGGTGCTTTTATATGCATTATCTCATTCAATCTTAATAACTCTGTGAGGTAGAAACAACTATTTACTCTATTTTCCAGATAAGGAAACTGAGGCTCAAAGAGGTAAGGTGGCTCACCCAAGGTCCCATGACTAACGTGTGTGTGTTATTGAGTGTTAATCTATACCAGGTGCTCTGAGTGGTCTAGAGCACTCACATTCAGTGGGTACTGTGAGTGTGGCCTTACCATTGATGAAGACTACGATTGGTGCTGACACCATGCCAGTTAAATATTCTGGACATCAGCCCCGCCTATGGGCTTCCAATGCCTGGAACCTTTTTTTTTGAGATGGAGTCTCACTTTGTTGCCCCAGGGCTAGGGTGCTGTGGCATCAGCCTAGCTCACAGCAACCTCAAACTCCTGGGCTCAAGCAATCCTCCTGCCTCAGCCTCCCAAGTAGCTGGTACTACAGGCATGCGCCACCATGCCTGGCTAATGTTTTCTATTTTTGCTAGAGACGGGGTCTCGCTCTTGCTCAGGCTAGTCTCAAACTCCTGAGCTCAAATGATCCTCCCGCCTCAGCCTCCGAGAGTGCTAGAATTACAGGCATGAGCCACGGTGCCTGGCCTTAATGCTTGGAACCTTGGTGTCCTCTCTCATCAACCTTCAGGGATGACCAATCCTGAGGTGATTCAGAACCTGGAGCGAGGCTACCGCATGGTGCAACCTGACAACTGCCCAGAGGAATTGTACCACCTCATGATGCTGTGCTGGAAGGAGCGCCCAGAGGACCGGCCCACCTTTGACTACCTGCGCAGTGTGCTAGAGGACTTCTTCACGGCCACAGAGGGCCAGTACCAGCCGCAGCCTTGAGAGGCCGAGGGTCCTCCCCCCCATCTTGCCAACCTGGGAAGGTGGAGTTCTTGTGCCATACCCACATGGCCTAAGCACATATAGACTCTGCACACAAATCCTGCCCACGTGAGACACATATGCATCTTATGTCTTGTTACATGCATCCTGTACTTGTGTGGACTCTGCACATGTATCTTGTACATGTGTAGCCTGTGCATGTGTGTCTTGGAAGCTGTCCAAGGTGTCCCTTTCTGGGCCCTCCCATTTCCTGAGACCACAGAGAGATGAGAGAGGCCTGTGATTGACACCAGCTTCTGCCCCCACCCCCTTTTCTTTTTTCAGCTCATCCAGAAGCTCCTTGAGGCCTGGGACCTGACCTAATACCTCTTGTGTGCTCCTCCTTGGTGCCTGCACATATCAGGAGCTCAATAAATGTCTGTTGATGAAGGTTGTACCTCTCTGTGCTCTATACTTCCATCTCCTTTCCCTTGTTGGGGCGGTATGGGTTCAGAGGATGGAAACAGTCACCCTGAGTTGGGCTAAAAGATGGAATGAGTGGATATCTGAACTTTTTCCAGTCCTGGTGATGCTGGGGCGAAGAGGAGGTCTGTACAACTCTGCTGTATGGGCTCTGTGAACCCTTTCAAATGGGACCGTGCTCCAGACCCACTCCCCAAAGGATTCAGGGCCACCCCCACCTCCCCACCTGGAATCTCCTAGAAAGTGGATGTGTCATAGCACTTTCTTCCCCATTATATAAGGGCAATAGCACTTTTTATTGACTCAAGAGCTATATGTGACCTCAGGTTTTTGTGGGGATTTTTTTTTTTTTTTTGGAGCACAGAGTCGTCGCTTTGTTGGTCCAGCTAGAGTGATGCCATGGCGTCAGCCTAGCTCACAGCAACCTCAAACTCCTCGGGCTCGGAGCTGATCCTTCTTTACCTCAGCCTCCTCTGCGTTAGCTGTGGCGGGTACTACAGGCAGCGCCACCATGCCCGGCCTAATTTTTTTATATATATATCAGGTGCCAATTAATTTGTTCTATCTTATAGTGTGTGTGTGTAGAGGACAGCCAGGTCCTCGCTTCTGTCACGGCTGGTCTGGTTGACTCCCTGAAGCCTGATGCCAATTTCCCGCCTCTTCAGGTGAATATGGTGAATCGATGGCTAATGGAAAAAGAGCCTTAGGTGGAAGAGAGTTGGTATTCATGGTTGGAAATTGAAAACACGGCTTGAGATGAGGCCACAGCGGCCCAAAGGCCTTTTGTAGAGAGAGATTCCACATGTTTTGCATAATCGCGCGATAGCATGACGTTGTTGTTTAGTTAGTAAAGTTGTTTAGCCTAGATGTAAGGCATATGTGGCCAGAAGGCACCCAGCGTAGAAATCTGTTGTACTAAGCTGTCCTCAAAGACGTTTTGATTCACCATAAGGATGTTTTTTTGTTTTTGTTTTTTTTTTTTTTTTTGAGACAGAGTCTCACTTTGTTGCCCAGGCTAGAGTGAGTGCCATGGCGGCAGCCTAGCTCACAGCAACCTCAGACTCCTGGGCTCAAGCGATCCTCCCTGCCTAGGCCTCCCGAGTAACTGGGACTTAACAGGCTGATGCGCCACCGCATGCCGGCTAATTTTTTTCTGTATTATGTAGTGAGCCAATTGCCTTAAGTTTTCTTTCATTATTATGTTAGAGACGGTGTCTCGCTCTTGTTCAGGCTGGTTTTGAACTCCTGACCTTGAGCAATCACCCGCCTCGGCCTCCAGAGTGCTAGGATTACAGGCGTGAGCCACCGCGCCGGCCGTATAAGGATGTTTTTAAAGATTGAATTAGGGCCGGGCGCAGTGGCTCACGCCTGTAATCCTAGCTCCTCTGGAGCGAGGGCGGGGGATTGCTCAAGGTCAGGAGTTCGAAACCAGCCTGAGCAAGAGCGAGACCCCGTCTCTAATATAAATAGAAAAACTAATGGCCAACTAATATATTAGAAAAATTAGCCGGGCATGGTGGCGCATGCCTATAGTCCCAGCTACTCGGGAGGCTGAGGCAGGATAGCTTGAGCCCATGAGTTTGAGGTTTCTGTGAGCTAGGCTGACGCCACGGCACTCACGCTAGCCTGGGCAACAAAGTGAGACTCTGTCTCAAAAAAAAAAAAAAAGATTGAATTAGCCAGGTGTGGTAGCTCTTGTCTGTAATCCTAACACTTTGGAGGGCCAAGCAGGAGGATTACTTGAGGCCAGGAGTTCCAGACCAGCCTGAGCACCAGCAAGACCCCATTTCTACAAAAAACTAGAAAAAATTAACTGGGCATGGTGGCCAACGCCTGTAGTCCCAGCTACCAGGGTGGATGCAGTGAGCTATGATGATGCCACTGTACTCTATCCTGGATAAAGTGCGTGAGACCTTGTCTCCCCCATCCCCAAATGAATTAATTCACTGGTTTAACAAATATTTATGAACATCTACTAGGTGCCAGGCACCATTTGAGGCCCACAGGATATACAATAGATAACACATACACACACACAAATCTCTGCCCTTGTGGAGCTTACATTCTAATAAGGGAAGACAGGCAATAAACATCACAAAGAAGTAAATTAAACAGTATTCTACAGGGTGATGGGCACTAAGGGAAAAATAGGCAGGGTAAGGGGAGTTAGGAATGTCATCTTTAGGCGGAGGTTTGCAATTTTACAGGAAGTGGTTAGGGGAGGCCTCATTGAGAAGGCGACTTTGAGCAAAGATTTGAAAATGAGGGAGACAGCCACCTGGTATAGGTGAGGAGTAGTCAGCCAGAGGGAATAGCTGGAGGCAGGAACTTACCTGGCATACTTCAAGAGGGGGATAGATCCTAGGGGCCTGGGGCCTTGTGGCCTTTGCAGAAGCCATTTTGAGGAGACTTTGAAGTGATTCTGCAAACCTGTGACATGATCTGGCTTAGATTTTATTTTATTTATTTATGTTTTTTTTTTTTTTTTGAGACAGAGTCTCACTTTATTGCCCAGGCTAGAGTGAGTGCCGTGGCGTCAGCCTAGCTCACAGCAACCTCAAACTCCTGGCTCAAGCAATCCTCCTGCCTCAGCCTCCCAAGTAGCTGGGACTACAGGCATACACCACCATGCCCGGCTAATTTTTTGTATATATATATTAGTTGGCCAATTAATTTCTTTCTATTTATAGTAGAGACGGGGTCTCACTCTTGCTCAGGTTGGTTTTGAACTCCTGACCTTGAGCAATCCGCCTGCCTCGGCCTCCCAGAGAGCTAGGATTACAGGCGTGAGCCACCGCGCCCGGCCTATTTATGTATTTTTGAGACACAGTCTCGCTTTGTTGCCCAGGCTAGAGAGTGAGTGCCATGGCATTAGCCTAGCTCACAGTAACCTCAATCTCCTGGGCTCAGCGATCCTGCTGCCTCAGCCTCCCAAGTAGCTGGAACTATAGGCATGCGCCACCATGCCCAGCTAATTCTTTGTATATATATTTTTAGTTGGTCAATTAATTTCTTTCTATTTTTGGTAGAGACGGGGGTCTCACTCTTGCTCAGGCTGGTTTCGAACTCCTGACCTGGAGCAATCCGCCCGCCTCGGCCTCCCAGAGAGCTAGGATTACAGGCGTGAGACACCGCTCCCGGCCTACAATGACTTTTTGAGTGCTAATTGTATTATGACCTGGATGTGATTGGCAGTAAAAGCCCCCAGAAAAGGACTGATAGCAACCTGGAACCAGCCTAAGATAAGGTGAGCTGTCTAGTAAGGTTATGAGCATCTTGTTGTTTGTGACATTCAAATGGGCTTTGGAAAACCACAGGTTGGTTATGTAGAGAGATTATCAACATCAGATGGAGTGTGAGGACTCTTCCAGGCTTGACAATCTTTGAGGCTTTAGAAAAAGGCAAGAGGCCGGGCACAGTGGCTCACGCCTGTAATCCTAGCACTCTGCGAGGCCGAGGCAGGTGAATTGCTGGAGGTCAGGAGTTCAAAACCAGCCTTTGCAAGAGCAAGACCCCATCTCTACTGAAAATAGAAAGAAATTAATTGCCAACTAATATATATAGAAAAAATTAGCCGGGCATGGTGGCACATGCCTGTAGTCCCAGCTACTTGGGAGGCTGAGGCAGGAGGATCACTTGAGCCCAGGAGTTTGAGGTTGCTGCGAGCTAGGCTGATGCCATGGCACTCACTCTAGCCTGGGGCAAGAAAGACTCTGTCTCAAAAAAAAGAGAAAGATTTTAAAAGGATGGCTCTTACTACTGTCTTAAAAATAGATGGAGTTAGCCAATTTATAAAACTGGAGAGATTTTGCAAAAACTTTTTGTATAAGACTCAGATTTCTGCCTTCTCTTGAAAAATAGGAAGCTTTGGACATGTTGGGTTTACCTCTCCTCTGGGAGCTAAGCAGTGGTTACCTGCTTCAGGTGGGGCATGGACTCTCCCTTTGTCAGAATTCCCTTAGACAAGAAAAGTGACTGTCAGTAGCTTATTGATCATCAAGCTTGCTCTGTTGTTCTTATAACAAAGAGGAAATAGTTTTTCTGCACCCACACTTCCATTAAAAAGTCAGACAATTAAAGATACCTGAAGATGGCAATGTGTTTGATAAAAAATGGGGGAAAGTCATATTTCTTTATAAAAGTGAAAAATAATATAATTTGAACAATATGCAAAGAGCATCTGAGTCATAATATAAATCCATTCATTTACATCACCTGCCTGACCTGCTGCCACACCCATGACGTCATCTGATCTCCACCCTCCTCCACTTTCAGACACTGTGTGCAGCCAGAGTTGGTGCTTTGTATTCTTCTTCTCATCAAACAAAGAGGGAAATGGAGGCCCAGAAAGCTTAAGTGTTTAAACCCACCCAAGGCTAGCTAGGAAGCAGCAACACAGAACTGGGACTAGGGTTTGTTCTATGGCCTTTTGGTCTTTCGATAACAGTTAAGACTGCCCGGTCTTAACTCTTCTGTTACCTTATAATTAATGATCCAAATGTAGTTCCCAACTGAGGAGCACAAGTCTCCAAGTACTCTTTTAAGAGGCAGAAAATGTATCTTATTAAGTGTAGGACCGTATGTAAGTAGCTAACTTAACACAATGCTTGGCACATAGTAAGTACTCATTGAGTATTCATATTATGGTAGTTGTCATTTTAACAGTCCAGCACAGGCACTTTTCCATCTTTCAGCTTGCTTTCTTTCTTTTATCTGTAGCAGCAGGGTCTCCCTCTGTCACCCAGGTTAGAGTACAATGGTACGATCATAGCTCACTGTAACCTCCAGTTCCTGGGCTCAAGAGATCCTCCCACCTTCAGCCTCCCTAGTAGCTGGGACTACAGGCACATACCACTTTGCTCAGCTAAGTAAAAATAAATTTTTTTAAGAGATGGGGTCTTGCTCTGTTACCCACGCTGGCCTTGAACTCCTAGCCCTAAGGGATCCTACTGCCTAGGCCTCCCAAA